AAAACCCGATTTCTAGCGTTGTAAGTCCGTAGACATACCGCTGCGCCACTGGGAGGCAAGTTTGTAAAGGTTTGTTTGTTGGTAGTTAAGCACAAAGCTACAAAATGGGCTATCTGTGCTCTGCCCACCACAGGTATCAAAACCCGATTTCTAGCGTTGTAAGTCCGCAGACATACCGCTGCGCCATGGGAGGCAAGTTTGTAAAGGAAAAAAAATGATAAGTATATTTTAAAAAAGCATCGCGATTAAATCTAACCATTGTCAACTTTATATATATATACAGGATTAAACCAAGATGATGAACGAATTATTCTTAATAGTGTCTGGACTAATGTCATCCCAAGACTGGTGACAATAAGCACATTATTTTTCATTCAGTTGTACTTATTTAACTTTGCATCGGTATATTTATCTAAGTACTTATGTTTCTATCTAGTACTTTCATGCGTAATTTTAAAGTTAAATTAAAAACATGCTTATTTTAAACTTGTGTTTTTTCACTACCATATTTTTTTTCTGGTCGAACATACAATCTGGCTTGAATAACGACCATATGATTTTATGTACAAGACACCTCGAAATATCAAATCCCCATTTAGTTCAGCTTATAAAATTTCTATTAAGTATTTTATTTCTTACATCTGTTTTTGTACACTATCAGGGGAGGCGCCAGCCTCTTTCCGGTAGAGGGAGTTGAAGTGGGCTCGATAAAAAATTGAGGGGGGTTGCACATTTCGTCTTGTAGGCACATATACTGGAGTATTTAATAAGTGAACTAGCATCAACACTAAGCATTATTCGTTGGGTGGTGTGGAGGAAAGAAGCTACTGGGGAGACTAAGGTAAATTTTTGGGGTAGCTTCTGCCCCAGCAAGTCCCTTCCCTACTGTCGACTTTGTATTACAATTCATCTTTAAATATGGTCATATCGACCTCATTAACAGGGATGTTGTTTCACATTCACAGTATGTTTTTTTCTTGACGTCATTATACAATAGATAAATAAAGTGATCATAACACATTTACAAATTACAACCACAGCGCTCCTTGTGACTTTTTTTTTTTTCCATTTCAAGATATGATGTAAGAGTAATATTACATTACAACAAAGTTCACTTTGTCGTTTTTTATTCACATATTCATACTGTGAAAAGTTTCCAATAATGTTTGTATGTTTTTAAGCACCAAGCTGCGCAATGGGCTAATCATGCTTCTTATCTTGCTTCACTTTAGATAATTCTATTTTATACTATTGCCGGTTCATGTCGGTTTTTTTTTGGTGCGGCCTTGATAGCCTAATTAAACTTAATCAAAGTGGCATAGTTTTTATGTTGCTTTGAAAAGCTGCTTTTCAGTAAAAACATCTAGTTTTTACATCCTTATAATTTGTGCATTTTCAAACAGACGTAGCACCGAACTTCAAAAAACAACAACATCTCATTTACTTTTATGGAAATAAAATGTAGGAAGTTTGTAGAAACATCAACGTCAACTCTTGTACACTATTTTACTTCAAGGTCTTATTCTTATCAAAAACATTAAAGTTAACTCTTCTGCAGTTTTACGTTTTAAGGTCCAATTCTTATCAGTAGCATTGACGTCAACTCTGCTACGTTTTACGTTTTAAGGTCCTATTTTTATATGTAGCATTAACGTTAACTCTTCAAGAGTTTTGTGTTTTCAGGACCTATTTTTATTAGTAGCATTAAAGTTAACTCTTCTACAGTGTTGTGTTTTTAAGGTCCTAGTCTTATTATCAAAATTAAAGTTAACTCTTCTGTAGTGTAGTGTTTTGAGTTCCAGTTCTTATCAGTAGCATTAACATCAACTCTTCTACAGTGTTGTGTTTTGAAGTTCTATTTTCACCAGTAACATTAAAGTTAATTC